TCCAAAGTAGTGCTCAGAGGGCCCAGTTTACACAACCCTTCCTACTCTGCCAATTGAGACCAATGTTTAATGTTAGGACCCCTTGATGTTGCTCTGCTCTGGTGCAACAATGCTGGGGGACACCAGGGCACCCTTCCGGGGTTACACCTAATAGTACAGATCAAACTGGGAATCAACAGCAGCTTTGTAAAGCAAATCACACAACTGACCCTGAAGCTATCACCCTGATCACCCTCTTGTGTTTGCATTCTCCTCTACAGCTTGATAAGATATGTCCTATTATTTAAATTTTTTCCATTTTTTATAATTTTATTTATTGAATCACCATGAGAGCAGTGTCCTATCATTTAAAACTTTTGGATTTCCCTCATTGTATTAGAAAATACTGCAGGCACTGACCCTGAAGAAGAACAAGGCTTTCTGTTAATAAGCCACTACCAGGTTATTTATCACAATACAGTTTGTAAGAATAAGTTTTAAACTTAAAATAACCAAAGTATAACAATGTTATTCAACAGCAAACATGAACCAGAGAGTTGTACTACTTGAGGAAAATGAATATGAATATAGATCTCCTACAATTTTAGATCTCAGGAACAACAAACAATTAATGGCTCATAAGTAGGTCACGTATGAGGTGAGAACAAAGAGGAACTGGATACTGAGGTGACATGAAAGGCCTTCTGAACTTTTTGCCACCTCATCTCATCCACATCACCATGTGGTTGCAGTTATTTTAGCCCTTTGCGGGGGGGTCCCGATAACCACTCTCCGGCCCGTGGAGGTGGCCCTAGGATCCGTAGGTGCAGGGAAGGACCGCCCGAATGAACATAAGACACAAAAGACAGAATGCAGTTCAGAAACAGAGAGAAAAAGGGACAGACTTTATTGGGGGCAATCAGGGTATATATCCATTAGTGAGGCTGTTACATAAAAGGTATGCCCATATATGGTTAGGAAGGTTTTTTTTCACATATCTCTCATAAAGTTTATGCGTATCTTGTACCAGACACGAGGTAGTTACAGAAAAGGCCATGTCCATATGATTTACCAGACATGAGGTAGATACACAAAGGGCCATGTCCATCACCTAATCACTTAATCACTTAACTTCCCGTTAGTCGTCGATTTCCTCGAGCGGGCGCCAGTAACGTCTCCATTTGTCCCTGTCGCGTGCTAGTGTAGCACAATGGCATCTGTTCGCTCCGGGAACATGGAGGGCCTCAAACCGATAATTCATGATCTTGACGAAGAAGTCTGACCATCTGGTAGGTGGGCGGCCACACGGTCTTTTGACATCCCGTGGAATCCAATCAGTAAAAGCTCTAGTCCAATGGTCGTCTTTAAATCTCATTACGTGACCAGCCCATCTGATTTTCGACACCTTGGCAAATGAGACAGCGTCCCTGATCCTTGATCGTCGATGGATGTCAGAACTCCGGATTCATTCTCTCATTTGAGTGAAACGTGATATTCCAAGCATAGCTCTTTCTATTCTTCTTTGGGAGACCTGAATAGTGTTCTCATCTTGTTTGCGTAGGGCCCAGGTCTCTGAGGCAAATGTTAATGCAGGAAGAACAGTGGAATCAAAGAGATGTGACCGGAGCCGGAGGTTCTTCGTCCTCTTAGCTATTTCTTTGATGTTCTTGAAGGCGTTCCAAGCCGCTCTCTTCCTCCTGCGCAGCTCGGGTGCCAGGTCCTTTGTCATGTTGACCTGTCGACCTAGGGACACACAGCTATTGCATTTGGAGATGGTCGTTCCGTTGAGAGCGAATGGGGCGTCAGGAACGAGGCTGTTTCTCATAAACATTGTCTTCGTAAGATTCAGCTGTAGTCCTAACTTTCCACACTCACGGTCAAAGTCGGCCAGCATTTGTGCCGCTTGGCTAATGTTTGGTGTTATTAAAACAATGTCATCAGTAAAGCGGAGGTGGTGTAGTTGCCGACCATCTATCTTCACTCCCATTCCTTCCCATTCCAGTCGTCGCATGATGTTCTCGAGGGTGGCACTGAAGAGTTTCGGTGAAATGGTATCACCCTGCCGCACCCCTCTCTTGACATCAACGATCACTTCTTTGTAGAATGGTGAGATCCTGGTAGTGAATCCGCAATACAGCTCACGGAGGATCCTGATGTATTGGGCTTGAATGCCCTGATTGGCTAGGGCTTCAATGACTGCTTCCATCTCAACAGAATCAAAGGCCTTCTTTAAATCAATGAACGTTAAACAGAGCGGCATCTTGAACTCCTGAGAAACCTCAATGAGCTTGGTTATCGTGTGGATATGGTCGATGGTGCTGAATCCTTTGCGGAACCCGGCTTGCTCGCATGGTTGTCCTTCATCTAGTGTTCTGCCAATCCTATTTAGGATGACTCGAGTGAACAACTTGTAGATGACAGACAATAGGCAGATCGGGTGATAGTTGCCAATGTCATGGATGTCTCCCTTCTTGAACAGTAGTACGGTCCTGCTGGTTTTCCATTGGGACGGAACCTTGTATTCAGACAGGTAGTGAGTGAAGAGCCGAGCCAGTGTATTGATGAGTACTAATGGCAGGTTCTTCAGGTGTTCAGGTCTGACCTTGCCTGGGCCGGGTGCTGTTTGTTTCTTTATGGACGAAATGGCGTGTCAGATTTCGGAAGGGAGAACGTTGGGAACGACATATTCATCCTGTGGAATTTGGTATGTCGGCAAGTGGACATGGCTATCAAAGAGATTTGAGTAGAAGTCATGGATAATCTTCTCCATTGCTGTTCTGGAGGATGTGATGGATCCATCAGGACGTCAGAGGGCAGTCATCTTGGTCTTATAATTGGCGAAGGACAGGCGGGCGTTACGAATACTTTTCCCGGCTTTTGCTGCATCTACCAGTACTTCTGCTCTTCTCTCTTTGAGAGAAAGGAACGGCATCTCCTGTAGAAACCCCTAAACAAGATCCTACAACTTTAGCAAAAACAGAGGACAGTATCACGGTTGAAATTCAGCTTCCTTCTAAAAGCTCCATGGAAGAACAGCAAGAACAGCAGCCCATCTCTTTGTCTTCTCAGCAGCCCGTCTCTTTGTCTTCTCAATACTCCTTGAGCACACAAATGGAGTCGACTCGAGTTTCAGCTTCTTTCCCCAGAAGTTACCAGAAAACTGATACCACCAGGTTAACATCTGTGGTCACAGTGAGACCTTTTGGCTCACATTCAAGAGGAATCACATCACTCCCAAGATCCTACACGCTGGATGATTCCTGGAAGTATAATGGAGATATAGACAGCAGTAAGAGGACGCAGACCAGTTCCGGCACCATGACACGGACCCTGGACCCTGTCCCGCTTGCACCCAGCTAGTCCAGTGTGCAGGAGACCACTGTAGAGAGTGTCACACAAGGCCCCTCTCCTACCTCTTCCTTGGCCTCTCTTTCCCAGGACCAGCCTTCCACTTCGAAAGCCACATTGTCTTCCATGTCTGGTCTCGATTCCATGTCCGAGTCTGGGGAAGGGCCAGGCTCCCCCCAGAGGGAGGTTTCAAAGTCACAGGATCAGTTCAGTGGTATGAGAATCAGCATAAACCAGATGCCTGGGAACGCTTTTGACTTTGGCTTTACAGTAAGATGGGATTTTTCCAGCATCTTTGTAGCATCAGTTGAACCAGGTAGTGCAGCAGAATTTTCTCAGCTACAGGTAGATGATGAGATTATTGCTGTTAACAACACCAAGTTTTCATATAAGGACAAAAAAGAGTGGGAGGAAACCATGGCTAATGCTCAAGAAACTGGAAACCTAGTGATGGATATCAGGCGCTATGGAAAGTCTGGTTCACCTGAAACAAAGTGGATTGATGCAACTTCTGGAATCTATAGCTCAGACAAATCTTCAAGTCTATCAATAACGACTGAATTCTCAGAAAGCCTGCGGGGCTCTAATATTCAGTCTAAAGAAGTCAATGGAATTTGTGATGAAAGCAATAGTTTTGAAACAAAAGCATCTGAACCTATTTCTTTGAAAAACTTAAAAAGACGATCACAATTTTTTTGAATAAGGAAGTACTAATTCTGTGGTTCCGGATCTCCCTGTTCCAACCATCAGTGCCCCGAGTCGCTGGGCCTGGGATCAAGATGTCCATATGATTTATAAAATTTATATGCATCACGTACCAGACACGAGATAGTTACTTCTTGTTATTACTGACAGCCATGACAGATGTTCTCTCAGGATAACCATACATCAAGATAACCATACATAGCACTGGCTTTGCCTGTTGCGGGGTCACGTAGGTCAAGACGACCATACATAGCACAGGCTGTGCCTGCCATGGGGTCGTAGGTCAAGATGACCATACCTAGCACAGGCACTTAGGCCCTTGGTCAGTTAAAGGGCCAGCTTCCCACAGCCCTTGAAACAAAATGGAAGATATTTATATGTATGACAAACTAGGCGTGGATGTATTTTCACTGAACTCATTCTTTATTTTCAGAATCTATTAGAGGAAGACAAAAGAGGAGTATTTGGGGACACAGGAAGGGATAGAAAAACATATAGAACTGAACGGATGGCAAATTTGAGTCTAAACATCAGGAACAGAAACTCTTGCTCTATGGACACTATAGTCACTAATCTGACAAGAATGTACTCATGGAACCCATAAGCGTTTCATTATTCCAGGATAAGACAATTAAGCCTGGAATCATGAGAGTAAATCAACTCCAGAAAATTTAGACTTTACCTTTGGAGCTTCTTTTAGGAACCCCAGTGTTGCCATTGCTTCCTATAAATAAAAATATAGATATTAAATCATGTCTTTCTATGTAGCTTTATTGGATAAAGTTAATTTAAGTGATATCCTTGATATGTGGTCACCGAGCAACAACATCCTGAACTTTTGGCCAACTGCTTGTGGGGATCAAGGAATAGAGGATATAGTCCAGTCTGGAGGACAAGGAAACCATCAGAAAAAACTCTTGGATCCTGAATGGTGTTGCCTATAAGAGTGATGCATTTATCTACCGAGTTTACCGCTTTTCTTGGAACAGATCAATGTTCACCCAGACCTCAAACTCAGCATCCTTCTGTAGACTCCTCTGTTCAGACTTTGAAATGGAAGCTTCAGTACCTGAAAATGTGAGTAAAGATCATCTCTTTCCTAGACTTTTTTTGAATTTGAGTCCGCGCATTGCCTTATCCATATGACCAAGACAAATGACATAGTACTGAGCACAAGGGAATGTCTTATGTTTGAGGGGTGGATGGTAGTGCAAGGCAAGTCTTAAATGCCTACAAAACTATACTCCAAGTGCTGTGAAAGGATTTCTATATCTCTCATGGGCTGCTGATTTGAGTAATGGAGGCTTAAATTGCAATGTGAATAGTCTTTTTTTTCTTTTTTTTTTTTTTGTTATAGAAATTGCATTGAATTGGTACAATGCTTTGGGAAGTATTGCCATTTTGACAATGTTAATTCTCCCGACCCATGAGCAGGGGATATCTTTCCATTTCCTCATGTCCTCTTTTATTTCCTGAAGTAGCGTTTTGTAGTTTTCTTTGTACAGGTCCTTTAGTTCCTTAGTTAAGCTGATTCCTAGGTACTTGATTTTCTGAGGCACGGTCATGAACGGAAATTTTTTTCATGTCACTTTCTTCTCTTTCACTATTTGCATATAGGAAAGCCATGGACTTTTGGGTATTGATTTTATAGTCTGCCACTTTACTATATCAGTCTATTGTTTCTAGGAGTTTCTTGGTAGAGGTTTTAGAGTTCTCTAAGTATAGTATCATATCATCTGTGAATGGTGAGAGCTTGATTTCTTCCTTTCTTACCTGAATGCCCTTAATATCTTTTTTTTGCCTAATCACTATTGTAAGTACTTCCAGTACTATATTGAACAGTAGAGGAGAGAGTGGGCATCCTTGTCTCGTCCCTGATCTTAGGGGGAAGGCTCTCAGTTTTTCCCCATTGAGGATGATGCTTGCTGTAGGCTTGTGGTAGATGGCTTTAACTATATTGAGGAAAGTCCCCTCTATCCCCAATTTGGTAAGGGTTTTCACCATCAACGGGTACTGGATCTTGTCAAATGCTTTCTCTGCATCTATTGATATGATCATATGATTTTTATTTTTTCTTTTGTTGATATGATAGATTATGTTGATTGATTTCCGAATGTTAAACCATCCTTGCATCCCCGGAATGAATCCTACTTGGTCATGGTGTATGATCTTTATGATGAGTTGTTGAATTCTATTTGCTAGTATTTTGTTGAGAATCTTTGCATCCGTGTTCATCAGGAATATCAGCCTGTAGTTTTCTTTTCTTGTGGTGTCTTTGTTTTCTTTTGGTATTAGAGAGATATGGGCTTCATAGAAACTATTTGGGAGAGTTTCTGTTTGTTCAATTTCCTGGAAAAGCTTGAGAAAAACTGGCAATAGTTCCTCTTTAAATGTTTGGAAAAATTCGCTAGTGAATCAGTCTGGACCTGGGCTTTTGTTTTTGAGAAGATTTTGATTACAGTTTCCATATCTTTTATGTTAATAGGTCTATTCAGGTACTCTATATCTTCTTGACTGAGCTTTGGGAGATGATAGGAATCCAGGAATTTATCTGTTTCTTCTAGATTCTCTTGTTTTGTAGCATACGGACTTTCAAAGTAGTCTCTGATGATCTTTTGAATTTCTTTGGTTTCAGTTGTAATATCTCTATTCTTTTTCTGATTCGGTTTATTAGGGTTCTCTGTCTCTATTTCTCTGTGAGTGTTGCTAGTGGTTTATCTATCTTATTTTCTCGAAGAACCAGCTCTTGGTTTCATTGATCTTTCGGATTGTTTCTTTGGTTTCCATGTCGTTGATTTCTGCTCTAAGTTTTATGATCTCTTTCCTTCTGCCTGATTTGGGCTCCTTCTGTTGATCCTTTTCTAAGATCTTGAGCTGTGAAGTCAAGTTATTTATGTGCATCCTTTCTTCCGTCCCAAGATATACTTGCAGAACTATAAATTTTCCCCTTAATATGGCTTTTGCTGCATCCCATAAGTTCTGGTAGCTCGTGTCTTCATTCTCATTTGTTTCCAAGTATCTTTTGATTTTGTCTTTGACTTCCTTCCTGATCCACTCATTGTTCAGCATTGAGTTGTTAAATTTCCAGGTGTTTGATTTGGTTCTCCTGTCTGTGTGTGATTCACTTCTATTCTCAGTGCATCATGATCTGAAAAGATTGTTGATACTATTTCTATCTTCCTGATTCTATTGAGGCATGTTTTGTGGCCTATCACATGGTCTATTTTGGAAAATGTTCCGTGTGCACTGGAGAAGAATGTTTATTCTTTCTTTTTGGGGTGTAAAGCCCTGTATAGGTCTATAAGCCCTTGCTCTTCTATTTCTTCTTTCAAAGCCAATGTTTCCTTGCTCAGTTTTGTTCTCGTTGTTCTCCAGAGGTGATAAGGTAATGTTGAAGTGTCCAGCTACTATTGTGTTGCTAGCAATGTTCTCCTTAAAATCTGCTAGCAGTTGTTTTTAAGTATTTAGCTGTTCCCTAATTAGGTGCATATACATTTAAGAGTGTGATTTCCTCCTTTTGTGCGTATCTCTTGATGTAGAGAAAAAAGCCTTCACTGTCCCTTCTAAATTTTTCAACCTGAAATTAATGTTGTTGGATACTAGTATGGCCACCCCAGCTCTTTTGAGGGAGCTGTTTGCTTGCAGGATTGTTTTCCATCCTTTAAGTTTGAGTCTGTGTTTACTCTGACCATTGAGATGAGCTTCTTGTAGGCAGCAGAATGTTGGATTCTGTCTCTGAATCCATTTTGCCACTCTGTGTCTATTAATTGGTGAATTTAGACCGTTGACATTGAGAGAGATTATTGTTATGGGGTTTTGAGTCATCAATCTGTAAGAGTCTGTTGTGCTTGTAGGTTTTGTCTTGTCTTATAGTAGCCCCTTTAGCCCTTGTTTTAGGTGTGGTTTTGAGTCTATGAAGTTCCTGAGCTACTGTTTATCGAGAAAATAGTGTACCGTTCCTTCGATTTTGAGTGAGAGTTCAGCTGGATAGAGTATTCTTGGTGAAACTTTCATTTCAGTGAGTTTTTTCACTATATCATGCCTTTGCCTTTGGGCTTGAAGGGTTTCCTCTGATAGATCTGCTGTGAGTCTCTTAGATGCATACAAAGGGTGCTCCTTTGTATGTGATTTCCTTCTTTGACTTTGCTGCTTGCAGTATTGTGTCTCTATCAGCAGCATTGATCATTCTAACTAGATATGTCTTGGAGTGGTTTTGTTAGGTTATCTCTTAGCTGGCACCCTTCAGGCTCCTTGAACCTGAATGGCTGCATTGTTGAGCTCTGGGAAATTTTTAGCAATGATTTGTTTAACTGTGGTTTTTTTCATTGGGATTGTTTCTCTGAGCTTCTGATACTCCAGTGATTCTAATGTTGTTCCTCTTGGAACCATCTCCTAGGACTCTGATTCTCTCTAGAGCTATCTTGAGGTCACTTGCCATTGTTTGTTGTTGCCTGTTGTCTTGGTGCAGCTGATCTTCCAGCTCCCTGATTGTCTCTTCAGGTGCAGTCATACTACTGTTGAGGGCACAGACTGAGTTTTTTATTTCATCTACGGAATCTTTTATTCATGACATTTCTGCTCTCATTTCTTCCTGTAATTTGTCGATAGTTTCTGTCATGTTACTGGATATCTGTCTGAGTGTTTCATTGAGTTCATTGAACGTCTTCTTGACTTCATATCTGAGTTCTTTCTCAGAGAGGTCCCTTAGGTGAGCAGCACCTACAGAGGCTTCTGGACTCTTTTCATCGTCCACCCCATGTGGTGGGGATTTGCGTTGTTTCTTCATGTTGGTGTGTAGGTATGGGGACTAGGTTTCTTGGTATGGCTAAACTACCTGCAGCCAAGAGCGTTGGCCCGCCTAAAATTAAGCCACCCCTACTTCTGAAAGGTCACGCCCCCACGGGTACATGGTGTGTGTGAGGGGAGTAAAGACTGGGTGGGGAAGAAGACCAGCACAGCTTGAGGGACGACGAGGAAGTGGCAGAGACTTAGAGCTGCTTTTCTCCTAGGGTCCGAGAGTATGCCTGGGGGGCTTGCAGGGAGAAATCCAAGTCCCGGGTTTGAATACCAGCGGATAAACTGACCTGGGTGGGGGAAAAGACCAGCACAGCTACTGAATAGTCTTTTAAAGTCCAGTCCAATTGGTTCTCGTTCGACTCTCCCCTCCCCTGACTGCCACACGCTTTAGTTAAACACCATGATTTAGATGGTTGTTCATGATGATTGATTGCAGGCATTCAATATTCAAACACCCACCCCAGCACCATTATCCCCTTCCTCCCTTTTATATTGCTTGTTATTCCTAAAGAATGATCAAAATTTTTTCTGTAGAAGAATATTTGTGAAAATTGTTGTATCTCACCATGGAGACATGAAGTCCTTGTCTGAGGGTTTTACTAAGCTGTTCCTGCAAGTTAACTTTCATTGCTAATGTTTTTGTTAGTGGAGATTGGTTGGTTTCTACTTTACATCCCATCCATCTACTACTGGCATATCAGTGATGTAGATGCTGGACATGCATTTGCTGCTGCTTGCTCTAGAAACTCAAGAGCTCTTTACTGGTCTGTCTGGTTGGAGTTAATTTAACTGGAATATGGTTTGGGGGTGTGGGAGTGACTGCAAGGGTTTTGTTTGGGCAGGAGCTGGCCCACCCCCAAGCCCCCCAAGAGAACCCTGGAGCTCTCAGTCAGGAATGGATGTTTGAGACATTTTTTTGTGTCTAGTCTGGGTGATTTCTTTTGGGATTCGTTTGAGTCTCCGGAACAGGGCCAGTAGATGAGGAGTTTCCATAGAAGCAGAGGTGGGACATGAGTGGCTTTCAAAATTTAATTAGTTGAGTAAAATGTTTATCTCTGCACAAGTTCCCTATTGATATTGAGAGTTCATTAGAAGATTTAAGTTCAACTATGTTAAGTAGGTAAATGTTGTATAGTTCATTCTGAAGCAAAAATTGCTTTCAAATAAAATTGCCATATGCTTAAACAGCTTCATATTGGAACAGGGTGGTCATTATCTAAGTTTCAAAAGAGATGAAAGTTTTTGTACCACTTCCTCCTCTGCCTGTGTCATTGTGATTAGTATTACTATATCCAATAATACAGTAATAGTCAGCCTCATCCTCAGGCTGAAGCCCAGAGATGTGCAGCAGTCCCGCATTGGTTGAGGTGTCTTTGGATCCAGAGAAGCGATTGCCAATTCCTGGTCCCAACTCTGTACTTGAGTAGTAACGCAGGAGAAACCTGGGAGAGTTCCCAGTCTTCTGCTGGTACCACTGTACTCCATAGCTGCCAACACTGAAACCACTGCTCAGGGTGCATGTGAGTCTGGCTGTTGTTCCAGGTGATGCAGAGATGGCAGGCTCCTGAGTCAACACAGGCTGTGAGAGGGACCCTGAAAAGAAAGACTTGTATTATCTTCAAGCAATAATTAGGTTAAATTCATCAATACTATGAACAAGGAGGAAGTTCTGTCAGGCAGCCTCTTGAGTCCTATCCATACCTGTGCAGTGAAAGAGGAGCATGAGCAGGAGAGCAGCCCAGGCCATGGTGCACATTACCCTCTGATCCCACAGTGGGCACTGGCTGCCCCACACCTACTTTTCTCCCTCTGCCAGAGGAGGAGCTGTCCATGCAAATCAGTTAAGTTTAAACTAATTTTAATGCTTGTCTCCTAAAGAGCATGTTGATGGGGGCTCAGCTCACACTCCAGACAGAACGGACAGTGTTTTGAGGGGCAGTTCTGGGAGGAAGCACCTGCAGAAAGCACACACAGGTTCTGGCCCAGAGGACACAGGAGCTGAATCCCACTCATTGTTCACAGGCACAGGCCCCAGGACTGGTTGCTCTGAGTTAATGGTTCTCACTTAGCAGCTGTGATGGGAAAGGAAGGGAGTTCCACAGCACCTCCTGTTGGCTGGGTTTGAAAAGAATAGAAAAAATATCCTGACTGCTTTTATTACTGAATATGTAAAAACCATGCTTGTCTAGAAAGATGCAAATAGGCTGCATTTGAAATAAATAAAACATCAGTTTTCTAAAAACATAGGAAAAGTTATTATGTAGGCATTCCACAGAACAGCATACAATTCAGATAATTTCATAGAAAATTTCAAAATGTTAAATTTTAATTTTTTTCACTCTGCATAAATTTTCTTCACCTACACTTTGGACCCAAATCTGGCGGTGCCCAGGATCTCCAAGATCTGCACTCAGGGATCACTTCTGGTGATCACCCTTGGGACTATTTGGGGTTCCTGGATTGAGCTTGGTCTTTCATGTGCAAGGTAAATGCTGTATCACTGCAGCACAGTCAACATAAATTTCAAAGAAGGAAAATATCCCTAACTCTTGTGATGTACTTATAATAGTGGTTATGCAATTAAGAAAATTATGCAAAAGTTTTACATTAATATAACTGTTGTAAATCACGATCACGATCACCCTGTTGTTCGTCAATTTCCTCAAACCAGTAACGTCAATTTCCTTGAAACCAGTAACGTCTCCTTCTTCTTAGCCCTGAGATTTTAAAAGAGCCGTTTCAATGCTCTTTCGGGATTAGGAGAATGAGACCCATCATTGTTACTGGTATTTGGCATATTGAGTACGACACGGGAAGTTTGCCAGACTCTGCCATGAGGGCAGGATACTTTTGGTAGCCTGCCAGGTTCTCCAAAGGAAAAATAAGATAATAAGATTTTGCATGGCCACAAATGCGGCTGCGCAATTCCGGGAGCTGGATTTTATAGTCTCTGCATTTTGGCCCTTGATGGGACCAACCTGGTGTTGGCGGCAGCTGGTGTGTGTGACGCCTACCTATTGGAAGATGGGTGGGTCTGGTTGGAGAAGGCCCAGACCCAATCAGAGTAGGCTTGGAGACCTCAGCCCCAGGACCTGCATGCCTGGGTTCCTCTGCCAGTTCTTTCATGCATGAGGCCCATCCAGCCATGTGTAGAGTGGTTCCAGCATGGCCATGGCTGGCTCTGGAGGTCCTCAGCTTCTGGGGCTCTGCTCGGCGGGAGGGTGGGGAGAGAAACTCAACCCTCCCCCCTCCAAGGGGCCCCGGTGAGGACAGCCAGGTGCAGGGGCAGGAGACTCTGCAGTTAATATAACTGTTGTAAATAAATTTTAAAAAATTCTAATGAAGAATTAATGAATTAGTTAAAAGGACTAATTAGTATTAATTGCAATGATACATGTTTGATTCATATTAAAATATTTAAAAGTGATATCTATACTAATACTTAAATAGTTATTTCTCACAGTTGACTCATGAACAATTCAAATATATTTTAAAAAACCAATATTGAAACATACATATAAAATTTTGACTTAGCTCTCGTTGTCTCTCTTTTTTTATTATAAAATTTTTTAATAGTGAGACATCATGAGGTACAGTTGCAGACTTACACATTTTTGTGCTTGGGTTTCAATCATACAATGATCAAACACCCATCCCTCCACCAGTGCCCATTTCCCATCACCACGGATCCCAGTATCCCTCCCACCCCCAATCCCCCCCATCCAACCCTGTCTCTGTGGCAGGGCATTCCCCTCTGTTCTCTCTCTCCTTTTGGGTGTTGTGGTTTTCAAAAGAAACATTGAGTGGCAATCATGTTTGGTCTATAGTCTATTTTCATCATGCTTCTCCCATCCTGGGAGGAGCCTCCCAACACCTTTATTTGGTGTTCCCTCTTTATCTGAGCTCCCTTTTCCCCTAGTATGTGTGGTTGGCCTCCAAGTCATGGAGTAAAATTCCTGGTACTACTCTCGGCCATTCTTGGGTGTTAGTTTCCTATTTTGCCACTTTATGTTCCCCAGATGAATGTAATCTCTCTATGTCTATCTCTTTCTTTCTGAGTCATTTCGCTTAACGTAGTACTTTCCATGTAGTACCACTTGTATGTAAATTTCGTGACTTCGTCTTTTCTAACAGCTACATAGTACTGCATTGTGTAAATGTACCAAAGTTTCTTTAACCAGTCATCTGTTCCTGGGCACTCAGGTTTTTTCCAGATTCTGGCTATTGTAAAGAGTGCTGCAATAAAAAAAAATATGTAACGCTTCACGAATTTGCGTGTCATCCTTGCGCAGGGGCCATGCTAATCTTCTCTGTATTGTTCCAATTTTAGTATATGTGCTGCCGAAGCGAGCACTCTCCTTGTCTCTCTTTCTCTCTCTCACACACACATGCACATAAACTCATGCATGTACTGTAGATAGACTTCATGATACAGAAGAGACCAAGATGAGCTTTATCTTCATTAGTATTCCACATTATTATGGAAGTATTATAAAATATCATTAAATAAGTGATAGGAGTGGTATATTTGGGTAGTATGTGAATGGAAATGTGCTTCTTTTTTGAATTGTCCTTTTGGGCATGCATTTTATATGTTATAAAGAGCCATTAAATGTAGGCTGTCACTGTCACTGTCCTGTTGTTCATCGATTTGCTCGAGCAGGCCCCGTAACGTCTCCATTGTGAGAACTTGTTGTTACTGTGTTTGGCATAGCCAATACATCACGCGTAGCTTTTCAGGCTTTGCCATGCAGGCGAGATACTCTCGGTAGCTTGCTGGGCTCTCCGAGAGGGGCAGAGGAATCGAACCTGGCTCAGCCAGGCTGACTGTGTGCAAGGTAAATGCCCTACCGCTGTGCTATGGCTCCAGCCCAAATGTAGGCTAGTTTAAAAAAATTAATTCCCATCTTCTGACCCTTCTGGTGTTCTGCCTGTCATGCCCACGAACTGCCTCTGGGAGCCACTGAAGCACATTCATGGTCATGATCAGGAGATTCACAAATGAATCTCAGAACCAAGTTGCTTGCGGTATAGATGTTTCCTGATATTTTGCCAGGCTGATTTCACTGGGGTGCCTGAGACTGGAGCAGGTGTCCTCTCTCTGTCTGCCCGAAAGGAAGCCCTGAAACTCCAGAACCAAATTCCTACCACCCTTGCCGCCAATCTTCACAGCCTTGCCCTGGGCCCCTCAGACAAGAAAATAAACCCACTGAAAATCCGGTATGCAGGACCAGTGACTGAAAATTCCAGGCCTCGGGAGGTGGGGACTGGGCCACCCCTTCTCCTCTCCCACCCTTCCAAGGTCCTGGCTGTCACCCCCCAAGAAACTGCCTCTGGTTGCCACTTAAGCTTATGAATATCCATGATCCAGAGACTCACAAATATATCGCAGAACCAAGTAACTCACTGCAGAGATGTCTCTGGATCCCAATTATTTAAAATTTTTAAATTCCAGGAGTGATTGACACCTTTACCAGCCATGCATCATCTCATCCTATTGTTTTTAACTTTTTTTTATTGAATCACTATGAGACAGACCCTTATAGCCATGTCATACTGTTCATTCAAAGAAATACAAGAAATTCAAAGAATATTCAAAAAAATACAAGATAAATTATCTAGCATCTGCCTGTGGGGAGGCTTGAGTGGTGGTGGGAAAATTCAAAACAGTCGTTGGGAATGTGTAATAGTGGTGGAATTGGTCTTGAAATATTTAATGTAATCAATTATTGTTAACAAATTTATGAAAATACAATTTATAAACATATAAATCGATTTGTTCATCGATTTGCTCGAGCAGGCCCAGTAACGTCTCCATTGGAGACTTTGTTGTTACTGTGTTTGGCATATCGAATACATCATGGGGAGCTTGCCAGTCTCTGCCATGCGGGCGAGATACTCTCGGTAGCTTGCCAGGCTCTCCGAGAGGGGCGGAGGAATAGAACTCGGGTCGACCATGTTGGCCGCGTGCAAGGCAAATGCCCTGCCGCTGTGCTATCGCTCCAGCCCTAAACATATAAATAAAATTAAAAATTAATTTTTCATCATGGTTGCAGAAGTGTTATTTTTAAATCTTTATAAAACACTCCATTGATTGAGAAATACAACTAGTAGGACACCCTTCTTGCATGTGGACAACCTAGTTGAAACCTGGCACCATAGTTGAAACCCTGAGCCTCATCAGAGGTGATCTCTGAGCACAAAGCCAAGGGTAAGGTCTTATCATTTCCAGGTGAAGTTGCCAAACCAAAAACATAATAATTTTAAAAGAAATAAAATATTCAAGTCTTTGAGTCCACTTCCCTCCACCACCATCCCAGTGTACCCCCTTCTCCCAAACACCCTGTGGTTAGATTCCTACTGAAGAACAGTTAACAGTTTCTGTAGCCTTTGGCCATTTGATATTCTGCTACTTTGTTTCTTTGTATCTGCACGGGAGAGAGATCATTTGTGTCTGTTCTTCTTCTGATTACTTCATTTAGCATTTTGTCTCGGGATCCATCCACATAGCAGTTAATTGCACAATCTCATCTTTTCTTATAGCTGAGTTGCACACAGGGAAGAAATCCCTGTCCTGAAATTTCTTGGATCAAACTTACCCCAGCAAGCAACTCTTTACTCTGCTTCCCAGACAAGCCATATTAATAGGACCCAGTTACAGTTACCACTGGTGTGTTTTGCCTAAGGAGATTCTTTCTCTTGCAGATTCTGACAGTGAGAATGTTTGTGTCAGCAAAGGTTGATCCCTGAATCTGAAGATACAAAAGAAAGTGCCCAAGCTTCATAGTCCAAGAGAATATAAACAATGTTAGCAGAAGAGCATAGTGTGTGAGGAAGGACACACAGCCCATCTTCCCAAAGAGAGACACTCTCTTAAAGACCTGATTGAGTAGGCATATAACATTGTTTATTATCTCACTCCTGACAGTGTGTCTACAAGGAAACCTTACCTGCAGTTGACTATGTTAGACCCACTGAGATTCTGAACCTGAAAACTGACAAGTATCTCAAAGCCACTTCCAGTGAACCAGTCAGGCTTTATTTTGGACAAAAAGAAGGAATTTGGACTTGATCAGTTCTGTTCACAAACCCAGAAAATTCAAAACCATGGGCAGATGCAAAGAAGTGTGAAAGTTCCTTTAAGGAAATTGTCAGAGGAAGAAGTGGCATAAGATATAACAGTCAAGTCATCGAGGAGAAGAAATAGGTCAGACAAGAACAAGGAATTTGTACTTATTTATCTTTTTCAATCAGGTGGACAAAGTAATGAAGGCCAGACAATAAGTCAGCTCTATGATAGCAATAAACTCAGAACATTAATATACACAGAATGTCAGGTTTCTAAGTGGTAAAATCAGAGACTCCTGAAGATCAATCAATACATACATTGACATTGTATTTATTTTGATTCAGAGTTCAAATATGTGGGAATAGGGAAACAGTAATCTGAAAGTGACTTGCAAATCAAATTGGTACATATTCAGAACATGTAAACATGGGATAAGAGTCAGAAATCTGTGTCTTGAATCATTCGAGGTTTTCAACCACTTCTCTTCCCGTGTGTGTATCTCTGTGAGAATTCCAGCTGCAACCCCCCATGGAGTAACAGTCAGCCTCATCCTCAGCCTGCAGCCCAGAGATGAGCAGAATCCCTGCATTGAAGAAGACATCTTTGGATCCAGGAAAACGAGTAGGACCTCAGGGTCCAGCCATTGTGTGAATCACTGTGGTAGTTCAGGAGATACCATGGAGGACTTCCAGGCTTCTGCTGCTGCTAGATAACCCTGTAGTTTCCAACACAGTAGCCACTGCTCAGGGTGCAGGTAAGTCTGGCTGCTGTCCCAGGAGATCCTGAGATCTTGACTGCGGCAGAATCAGCACAGACTGGGAGAGGGAACCTGCAAACAAAGACACTCATAATTCTGAGAATGAATCAGGGTCTGAGTCGTCAGTCTTCCAAGCAAGGTTTTCGGGTGTGTTAGGGTTGTCTCTTCAGGTCTGACCCTACCTGTGCAATGAGAGAGGAACATGAGTAGGAGAGGAGCCCAGGCCCTGGTACACATGAAAACCTGACCCCACCTTTGAGAATTTCTACCCAAGTCCCCTTTTCTTCTTCACCCTATGTCAAAGTAGAGACTATCGATGGAAACAAGTTTCCATTCCTTAATTACCCACACCCTCCTGAGCCCTGCATCTGGAACCCAAATCTCAGCCCAGAGTCAGCAGGAAGATTTGCTTTCCCTCTTGGGAGAGCCCAGCAGGAAGCACCCTTGGAGACTAAAGTCCATGGTCAGGCAACTCTTATAGCCCAGAGAAGCTGCAGTGCAGAGTTCTTATCAGTGAGCTCACAGGGAACAGCCATCAGGCCCAGCCATCAAGTTTACTGATCTCACTGAACAGATAAGGAACAGCAGGGGTACTTCCACAGTGACCCTGCTAATTGTATTTGAAAAAAAGTGAAATGAAAATAAAATCTATAAAAATCTCATAGACTAGATTAAAAATAATTTTTCAAGTAAGATACAGAATTGGGCTGGAGGGATAGCACAGCAGTAGGGCTTTTGCCTTGCGCAGCCAGCCCAGCCGTGTGTCATCTTTCAGAACATAAGGAATAATTCATTAGTGCACAGTCAGCAGTAACCCCTAAACATTGCTGGATGTGACAGCCCAAAATCCAAAGAGAAAAATACAAAACCCAACCCCCCAAAATCTGAAGTATAGTGTCCCATATTAACTTCCTCAATTCACAGTGTTCTTTGTAAGTTTTCAGAGCAAATGATCCTTCATTTCATAAGCATTTTTCAATGATTTTCTGAACTTTAATGATGACATAATATAATTAGAATTAATTTTCAAACATTCCATCTGATTATGTTATATTTAACGTATATTAATTTAGAGCAACACATACACTGTATAAAAAGGTTTTCAATTGATGTTATCAATACATAAAATATTGTTTTATTCCTTACTCTTAGTGAGAATGAACATTGTTGGTGATGCTATGTATGGAGGAAATATAATTGACTTTACCCCAATAACATTACCTGTGCATGCCTGGAAAATTCCTTGAATACCAAAGATAAGGAATAGAGTAAATCCTGAATGAGAAGTCAAATCTCAGACACCAGTATTTAAGTGAAGGAATTGATCAAGACCTGGAATAACTTTGTTTATTTGAAAGTTTGCAGGAAGAGTTGTTATTTTTCATCAACAATATAGAAAATGCTTTGAACAAGGTGACTACATGAGAGGACCTGCTGTACTCAGCAGCAAAAGATGAAGCTTAGTTCAGGGTTCTTGTCTCACTTCCCCACTTCCATCTGTCACTGTGGAAATGGTTGCTGAGCCACAGAGCACAGAAATACTCAGCCTCGTCCTCTTCCTTGGCTCCAGTGATGGTGAGGACTGCCTTGTTTCCAAGCAGGGAGCCAGAGAATCGGGCAGGGACATCTGGATGCCTATTACTGGTTCCAGCTATTAGACCCCTGGGCTTCTGGTAGGGATTCTGCTGAATCCAGCAAGCAAGGTGATTGGTGGTCACTGCCCCGGTACTGGAGCCACATGTGAGTGTAACTGTGCCTCCAGCAGTTGTGACTAGTGACGATTCTTGAATCACCACAATCTGAGAAGTGACCCCTGAAAACAGACAGGAGACCAAGGACAGAGGATGAGACAATGATATAAACGTGCAGCAGAGCATCCTTTGCCAGTATCCCCCACCAACTCAGAGAGTCCTCCTGACCTGTGCAGTGAGCCAGAATTGTGAGCAGGAGAGGAACCCAGGCCATGGTGTAGACAAACCAATGCTGTGATTTGTCAGACCCCCTCAGCTCAGGAGCAGTCTCCAAGCTCTCCTTATACCTGTTTCCCCTGTGGAGGTGGGGCTGTCATGCAAATGAGTTCCTCAGGGTCTGTCAGCAGTGTGACCATGCCAGAGTTTCTGAGTTGTTCCAAGTCAGTGACATGTACTAGAGGGCTCTAGGGTCTGGGGCTGCATCTCATTGCAGATCCTGCTCTCAGAATATGGCACAGTGCTCCCTCTAGTGACCACTGATGAGAAGATTCACTATTGTTTGTCTTTTTTTCTAGTTTTCTGTAGCGATAGTACAGTGGTAAAGCCTTTTCCCTTTCGCACAACCAGCCTGGCCGAGCAGGGTTCGATTCTTCCGCCACTCCTGGAGAGCCGGCAAGTTACTGAGAGTATCTCGCCCGCACTGCAGAGCCTGGCAAGCTACCTGTGATGTATTCAATATGGCAAACACAGTAACAACAAGTCTCAAAAAAAAAATTGAGACGTTACTGGGCCCGCTCGAGCAAATCAATGAACAACGGGAGGACAGTGACAGTGTTTTTCTAGTTTTTAATTTCTTTCCTCAGACTGTGAGGTTTTAAGTCTCCAATCATCTAAATTCAGTGTCTGTGATTCCCTAGGTAGGAACTGGATGAATGAGTTTTGTGAAAGGGGAATCTGCACACACCAGCAGATTTCTTTATCCTCCTCCACTTTCCTTAGACAACTCTGTTGAGCAGAGGCTCTGAGGTCTAGGATTCTTTTCTGTTAATTGATGCAAGTTTCTGAGAAACTCATGGAATAATGTGTATACTTTGCCGTATGGGTAATTAATGATGTCACGTGTAATGCTTCACCTCTACTCGTGCTTTTACAGCTGAGTGCTATTTAGTTCTCAGTTCTGAAATGAAAACAAAACAAAGTCTGTTGTTGATCAAAGGGAACTTGAAGTCCTTTGCATCCTGTTTGTCCTCTGGCTGAGCATCCCAGTCCCACCTAAAGTGCTTGAGGATGCTGCTATAGAACCCCTGGAATTGGAGGGGTTACATAACTTCAACTACTAAGTCTGAGGTATTTAATGGAAGACTAGCATTAAATAAGGTTTTCTTTATCCATATTTCCTCCATTATTTACCCTCATTAAAAACTTTGGTGCATTGGAGGCCAGCCACACATGTTAGGGGAAAAGGGAGCTCAGGTAGAGAAGGGAACACCAAATAAAGGGTGTTGGGAGGATCCTCCCAGGATGGAAGAAGCATGCTGAAATTAGACTATAGACCAAACATGATTGCCACTCATTGACTCTTTTGCAAAGCACAACACCCAATAGGAGAGAGAGAACAAAAGGGAATGCCCTGCCACAGAGGCAGGGTGGGATGGGGGGGATGGGGGTGAGAGGGATACTGGGATCCGTGATGGTGGGAAATGGGCACTGGTCAAGGGATGGGCATTTGAACATTGTATAATTGAAACCCAAGCACAAAAATGTGTAAGTCTACAATTGTACCTCATGGTGTCTCATTAATAAAAATTAAAAAAAAAACTTTGGTGCATACCTCTTGTATACCTTGCAAAATGTGTCTCTTATTCACAATATTTTAAGTTATATTTGTTGGCACCACCCAGAGTGGACATTCCATTTGAAGATAGTCATCTCAGCATTCTCTCCACCGTTTGTATAGCTACATTCCAATACCACAAATTTAAAAAATTCTAAAGCTGTCCATTATATTGGAATAATCAGTTTTTGACCTTGTAATATTTTACCCATCACCTAAAGGTAAGGTCACTTCAGCCCATCATTGCTTTGATAGGCTTATAAAGGTATTTGTCTTCTTTGTGAACAAATCTAGAAAAATATAGAAACATTGTCAATACACCAAAATACCCCCCCAATACTTAAAACATTCTTCTCAGGAATGATTCCCATAGAAAATACTTAATCTTGGTTCTCTTAGGTCCTGACTTTCTTGAATTCATGTTGGGCTTCTGACTACAACAGGACCTGGCCTTATAACCTTCATGTTTTAATTTGTTTCCTCTATGCTTGAGGCCATTAGAATACAGAAGGTGACTAGTGTGCAACCACAGATGCAAGGGACTGTGGCATGTTATTGCAGACCTCTCCGCATTCTTCTTCCTAAGACACCTTAAGTGCATTGGACCTCATATTGTTGCCCCTAAGCAGGAAGTACCTTGAGCAATTTGATGCTCCATTTCCTGACTGACTGGCACAGTCTCTTGCCCCCTTACCTGGCTGTCTTCACCGGGGCCCCTTGGAGGGAGGCGAGTTGAGTTTCCCTCCCGCTGGCCCCCGAACAGAGCCCCAGCAGCCGAAGACATCCAGAACCAGCCACAGTCATGCTGAGACCACTCTCCACATGTCCGGACAAGCCTCATGCATAAAGGAACTGGCAGAGGAACCCAGGCATGCGGGTCCCGGGGCTGAGATGTCCAAGCCTGCTCGGATTGGGACTGGGCCTTCTCCACCCAGATCACCCACATTCTATTAAATAGGCAACACACCCACCAGCTGCCACCAGCGCCAGGTTGATCCCATCAATGGCCAAGATGCAGAGACTATAAAACCCAGCTCCTGGAAGTGCGCGGCCACATTTGCGGCTGCGCAACATCTTATTATCTCACTTTTCCTTTGGAGGACCTGACAGGCTACCGAAAGTATCCTGCCCGTACGGCAGAGTCTGGCAAACTTCCCATGTCATACTCAATATGCCAAATACCAGTAACAATGATGGGTCTCATTCTCCTAACCCTGAAAGAGCATTGAATATGGATCTTTTAAAATCTCAGGGCTAGGAAGAAGGAGACGTTACTGTTGCCTGTTTGAGGCAATCGACGAACAACAGGATGATCTTGATCGTGATCATGATTTCCTGATTGCAGTCAGAAGGTTTTTCTTTGTGAGGGGGGAAATGAAAGAATGAGCCTCAGTTTCTCATTAGCAGCTGTGTTTTAAAAAGTTCAGTTTTAGCTGTCTCCATTCAACACTTTAAGCATTCTCTCACATCTTGGGTTTGCCTTTTTGAGGAAGAGAAATTTGAAATTTCCCATGACAAAAGTTCGACCTTCCACCGCAGAGTGTAGTCTATCTATCTTAAATGGTAAAGTAGATAATGCAAAAGACCTAAATCAGCCAGCTCACAGTGTAAGATCCCTAAATACTCAAGAAAAGCCTGTCAATTGGCAGGTAGCACAAAGACCCACTTTTTCTATAACCCCCTCCCTCCCACCACACACACATAGACACACACAGATACACACACACAAACACACACACACACACTGACACTCACACACACACACACGAGCCATAGCTAACTTGCTTCTACACTAAGATTCTATAGTAAGCTTCTATACTATTTCTATTTTCTACTTTGAGCATCATTTTTAACAATATTTTAATTCCTACAAATATTGAAAAATTTGGAAGCATGTAAAGAACACAGAGACAAACTTTCCCTGATCCTGCTTCACTTTTCTGTCTGGGCCCCAGACAGCGTGACGGCAGATTAGTTCTCAAGGAGAGAGAGAGAGAATCAGATCAGAGTCAGCAGTGTTTTGAATGTGTCAGAAATTGGTGTCTTGGTTGCTTGACCAGTCTTCTGTTGAAACCAGGATGGATACTGACCCTCAGTGACTACTCCATGCTGAGACCACCTGTGAGAATGACTGTCTCTTCTGGGTTCACAGTCAGCGAAGGCAGATTCACCACAGCCTGAGAATTGGATCCTGAAATGGAAAGAGAAGCATGGCAGGAATGAAGATTGAAGTCAGAGAAATCCTCCAAAGGCTGGTCACTCAAAATCTCCACAAACCTGTCCAGTGAGTAAGGAAGAGGAGGACAGGGAGAAAGAAGAGAGGAGTCCACTCATAGTATGACTTTCAAGGACACACTGACCCCTTAGTTGACATTTGACCTCTGGGCCTCTTTCATGTTCCTTTGGCCTTGAGGGAAGTGTTACTGATGGGTGTGCCTGCTGAAAACCTGAGCCCATTAGGATACATGACCACCCTCAATTGTGTCTTCAACTAAGGACTAGCTCAGCTGGGAGGGAGAAGCCTGGGAATGCTGGGATCTGGGTTAGTCCCTTAGGAGGAAGCACCTGTTGACATTTCTAGTTGAGACAAGAGAGATTTAGATTTTATGGGACTCATACAGTCTGAATTCGCTGCAAGATCTTGTTCACTTCAAAACTGTCATGGGCCTAACAGTACAGTGGTAAGGCCCTTACCTTAAATGCACCTGAGTCTGGTTCTATTTCTGGGATCCCATATGGTTCCCTATACCTGTCAGGATTAATTCCTGAATGCAGATCCAGGAATATCACTAGGCCTGGCCATGTAAGGTGTGGCCACACAACCCCCCCCCCAAATACAATACTCTCCATGGCCCAAAACCAAATTATCAAAAGCATTGATGTTCCGTGGATACTTCCTCATGTTAACAAGTTTTAAATATTTTTCAGAATAGAGGTTCCTTCATATCATAAGAATTTTTCAATACTTTTCTGGAAATTAGTGACTACAGGATATGATTTGAATTAATTTCCAAATATTGCATGGGGCTGGAGCAATAGCATAGCGGTAGGGCATTTGCCTTGCGCCCCAGCCCGGCTGCGAGCCGGGTTCAATTCCTCTGCCCGTCTCCGAGAGCCCGGCAAGCTACTGAGAGTATCTCACTTTCACAGCAAAGCCTGGCAAGCTACCCATGATGTATTCTGTGTACCAAACACAGTAACAAGTCTCACAATGTTACTGAGTCCGTTCGAACAATCGATGAACAACGGGAGGAGAGTGACAGTGCATATATGAATTATGCTATATTTTATGCATATGAATTTATATACACATATACTTATATTGTATAAAATGAAAATAGATGTTATAAATTCGTCGATTGCCTCGAGCAGGTCCCAGGAACGTCTCCTTCATCCTAGCCCTGAGATTATATTCAAGGCTCTTTAGGAGAATGAGACCCATCATTGTTACTGGTATTTGGCATATTGGGTACGCCACGGGGAGTTTGCCAGACTCTGCCGTGTGGGCAGGCTACATTCTGTAGCCTGCCAGTTTGTCCAAAGTAAGTAAGTAAAGTAAAGGCCCTCCCGTTGATCGTCGATTTGCTCGAGCGGGCCCAGTAACGTCTCCATTGGAGACTTTGTTGTTACTGTGTCTGGCATATCGAATACTCTCGGTAGCTTGCCGGGCTCTCCGAGAGGGGCGGAGGAATCGAACTCGGGTCGGCCATGTTGGCCGCTTGTAAGGCAAACACCCTACCCGCTGTGCTATCGCTCCAGCCCAATGAGATAATAAGATGAAATAATAGGATGTCGCGCAGCCGCGAATGTGGCTGCGCGGTTCCGAGAGCTGGTTTTTATAGTCTCTGAGTCTTGGCCATTGATGGGATTACACGGCGCCAGGGGGCCAGTTGGTGGGTGTGACCCCACCTACTGGAATTTGAAGGATCTGGGTGGAGGATGCTTGGCCCAAATCCGAGTAGGCTTGGAGATCTCAGCCCCAGAACCCACGTGACTTTGTCCCTCTGCCAGTACCTTCATGTGTACCTCCGCACACATGAAGGTTATAAATACATAAATTATTATTTCCTGCCTTACCCCTAGTGAGAATGGTCATTATAATGCTTCTTCTGAGAAAATGTAATTGACTTTACCGTAATAGCATTACTTCATGCCTGGAAAATTTCCTGTGTTTAGCTTGTGTACCAAAAAAAAAAAAAAAAAAAAAAACCCTCAAAATAGAGTAAATCCTAACTTAATGTCAAGGTAGTTCTAGGAGAGCAGTATAAAAGTGAAGGAATTCATCAAGCCCTGGAAAAACTTGGTTTATTTGAAAATTTGCAGGAAGAGTTGCTGCTATTCTTTATCAACAAAATAGAGAAGATCTTGAACTAAGTTACCATTAGAGGGCCTGCCATATTCAGAAACAAAAAATGAAGCTTAGCTCAGGTTTAGGTCTCACTTCCCCACTTCCATCTGCCACTGTGGAATGATTGCTGAACCACAGAACACAGAAATACTCAGCTTCGTCCTCTTCTTTGGTTCCAGTGATGGTGAGGACTGCCTTGTTTCCAAGCAGGGAGCCAGAGAATCGGGCGGGAACTTCTGGATTCTTATTACTGGTATCAACTATTAGACCCCTGGACTTCTGGTAGGGCTTCTGTTGAATCCAACTAGCAAAATTGTTGGTGGTGACAGTCCCAGCACTGGAGCCACAGGTGAGTGTAACTGTACCCCCAGGATTTGTGGGCAGTAACAATTCTTGAAACACCACATTCTGAGAAGTGACCCCTGAAAACAGATGTGACACCAAGGGCTTAGGATGAGATGATATAAAGAAGCAGAGCATCTGTTGCCAATTTCTCCCACCAACCCAGAGTCCCTCTGACCTGTGCAGTAAGTCAGAAATGTGAGCAGAAGAGGAACCCAGGCCATGGTGTAGACAACCCAATCCTGTGATGTGTCAGACACCCTCAGCTCAGGAGCAGCCTCCAAGCTCTCCTTATACCTGCTTCCCCTGTAGAGGTGGGGCTGTCATGCAAATGAGTTCCGCAGGGTCAGTCAGCAGTGTGACCATGCCAGAGTTTCTGAGTTGTTTCAACTCAGTGACATGCACTAGAAAGGGCCCCAAGGCCTGGGGCTGCATCTCATTACAGAGCTTGTTCTGAAGGCATGGCACACTCCCCCCTCTAGTGTCTACTGATGAGAAGATTCAGTATTGCTTGTCTTTTTTTTAGATTCCAGCCTTCTTTTCTCAGACCTGGAGTTGTTAGGTCCCAAAGTAGCTAACTTCAGTGTCTGTGATTTCCCAGGAAGGAAGTGTATGAAGGAGTTTTGAGAAGGAGTCTTCAGAAATCAGCACTTCTTCCTTCTCCTTCTCCACTTTTCTTAGCTCTTTTGAGCAGAGAATTTAAGCTCTAGGATTCTTCTATGTTATGTGAAGCATGTTCTCCCCAAACATGTAGAATAATATATAACTTTGCCATATTGGTGACTACTTATGTCATGTATGTATGCTTCACCAGTCCAATTCTACTTAGAATTTATATCTGAATGGTGTTTAGTTTTAAGTTCTTAAAGCAAAGCAAACTAAATTATAACAAAATCTCCTGTTGAAAGATGCGTACTCATATCCTTTGTATCCTGTATGTCTCTGTTTGAGATTTCTATTCACATTTTAAGTGCTTGAGAATGGGCTGCCACAAACCCCTGCAGTTGGTTTATTTGAAGAAGACATAGAAACACTATATTGGGAGGAGTTGCTTGGCTTTGTAGACTTTGTATCTCTTCAAGTTGCCTGTGTTGGTATCCATGCAACTGAATATCTTAGGTTTTGAAACTTCAGCAGAGACCATCAGGGCAGTCCCATGTGGCTGCTCCCATTTATGCTTATCTCTAGACACTTCAGGTCTATAGAAAGGTGCAAACACACTAGTACAGGGCTTTGTGATTGTAAGATACCTGTTGCTCCCTGCTGTCAGTTCATTAGATTTCTCCTTAGAAGCATGACACATCACCCCTTTTGTGGCTTCAACATGACCTCAGGCAAATCTTGATGCTCCATGTGGAATCTTTACACTTCCTTCATAAATGAGCCCGTGTTTTTTCATACAATATGCTCTTAGATAAGAAAGTTATTCATAGGTCTCCTGTGCAGGACACCATTTTCTCCTTTGCTATTCATCATTTGTCAAAGATGAAGGAGTGTGTCTCCAACATTAAAAATAATGTTTCAAGCATATATAAACTGAAAACATTTTGGTTTTATTTGTACACCAAGCAAATCGATGAACAACGGGAGGACAGTGACAGTGACATGTACTAATTAACCAGGAGACTGCCTTTTTAGTTGTTCCTCTGAATAAGACTGGGAAAATCTTTTGCAAGTGAGAAAGAAGTGATATATAAGCATTTAGGGGTAGATAGACACAAAGTTGTGTGCACAGACAGAACATGCTTTCATATATGCCTCATGTCTTTGCATAATCAATCTTCACTCAGAGCATAGCTTTTGTTTTAATATAGATTTCTGAAACAGAGGTGATGATTGATGGTCATTTTGGGAGAAATCTGGAAGAACCTACCAACTTATTGATATTTGGGGATCCTGACAGAGTTGATATGATTCAAATTAGTGAAAGTACATTGAAAACTGCTCTGGTTATCTTTTGAGTTGCTTTACTATTGATGGCATTAAACAGAGTGGCTGTGGTGTCATAAAAAGCAGTACGTAAGAAGGCATCTGGAGCTTACATGGTCACCCAGTCTGTCTAGAGAAAAGATCAGAGAGCTAATTGAAATATCTTCAATATATGCCACTGCAATCTACTGAGCAGGGAGAGAATGATCTCAGAACTGTTTCTCAAACCATTGCTTAAGCTTTATGATGCAATTGTAATGAAAACAATGCATTATGATGCCTTCAGCAGAAAAATAGTAGATGTGTAAAGATGCTACATGTTTTCTTCCCATATATCAATGCACTTATTAATGAAGTGAAATTTCAGTTCTGAAAAGTGACCAGATGTTCGGAGGAGCGATGGCCCCATAGAGAGAGACTGTGGAAGACTTTGAAGCAGGTCACAATAAGTGTAAATAATATTATTTTATGTGTCTCCAGATTACCTTCATTTGCAAGGAGGTAAGTTGCATCTCAAGTCACAGTCAGGTGTATAATTAGAGGCTTTATATAGAGAAAAGAGATACCAGAGAGCAGACTCCATAACTCAGTCAGTGCTAGAGTAGAAACAGATATTCTCCAACAATGGTGGAAAACAAACCACCAGCCTATAGCCAATGATTCATTACTAAAGGGGACAACTCCACAAATCCCTGATTTAGGGGGTACCTGATGTCTTAGGATGTATTTATGTGTTTGGTAGCATGGAGCTTATCCAGGATGGTGGCTGACAATTTTTTCTGTGATCCCCAGTGGAGGCAGGTGAAGTTTAAGCTGGTGGAGATGGATTTAGAATTTGGTAGGCACTGAACAGCTCTACTGTGGCCTACTCATAAGAAAAGCTCATCTCTGATCAAGTCTTTTGTTATGCATATCATGTGTTGTATCCATGTCCATACTTATTACTGGGATTATATTCATCTACAGTGATAGTTCTTCTAAGTCTAGAATAGCATTCTTTAACCACCATTTCAAGGACTTCTTCACAGGTATGAAAAGGTTGAATCCACCATTCTACCACCATGGTAGTAAATAGATGGTACTGAGAGGTCATAGATCTGCTTACAGCAGAGGTGTTATTTCAAAGGTATAGAAAAGGTTGTAAAACATTGATCTAGAATACCTAAAGTAAATGCAACTTTTAAAAGACAGAAAAGTGTGATAGGGGATAGAGTAAGAGTACAGTAGGTCAGTAGTTTGCCTTAGAGGCAGTCAACCTTTTTTCCATCCCCAGCACCCCATATGGTCCACATAGAACTGCCAAGAGTAATTCCTGAGTGTTGACCCAGGAGTAACCCCTGAGCATAGCGGGTTATGATGCCCTGCCTTCCGTGAAAAAACAAATAATCTGATAACTGTAGACTTTTGAGAATCTCCTTACTGTATCCTCACTATAATTGCTTTTGAGTATGTCTCTGACTATCTCCCGTGTGTATCTCCTAGATCTATTCCTGTCTTTTTTTTTTTTTTGGTTTTTGAGTCACACTTGGCGATGCTCAGGGGTTACACCTGGCTCATGCATTCAGGAATTACTCCAGGCAGTGCTCGGGGGACCATATGGAATGCTGGAAATCGAACCTAGGTCAGCCATGTTGGCTGCGAGCAAGGCAAACGCCCTACCCGCTGTGCTATCCCTCCAGCCCCTCTATTCCTGTCTTAACCCTCTAAAAGACCTGCACGGCAGATCTTTTAGATCAGGACCAGACCAAAGATGAGTGATTACTGAAAACTTGAAGTATCAGGACCAGATCAGATCAGGACCAGACCAAAGATGAGTGATTACTGAAAACTTGAAGTATCTGGAAAAACTTGAACCATAGAGCTGCCTAAGGGGAGGGAATCTGAAGAGCTCACTCTCATCCCTCAGCTCAGAATTTATGCTACTCTCCCATAGAGACCTCTCTAACTGCTTTAATTTCATCCCTGCATTGACACTAGAACTCTAACCAAGACATCTTCAGGAGTGTCCATATATAAGGCAATCTCTAAATTGTGAGTAAATGTCCTTAGCTTAACATTTCAGTCTACAAATTCCACTAACGCTTAAAAAGCCAGCCAAGAGAATACAGTAATCCAGCTTGACACATAGTAGTTTTTGACAAAATGAGGAAACACAGAAATGTGCTACAAATTATGGGCAAAATGAAATCTCAGAAAAAGAATGAGAAGCAACTGAATCTTCCCAGGTCAGACTGGTCTATTGACTGAAAACTGTCGACCTTCTTGTAATGGGGGTAGAAGATGTTTCTTTCTGCTGTAAATTACAGCATCCCCAATCACAACACACAGCCTCTGGCAGATAAACAGCCCAGCTCCACAAGTCATCTTGAAAAGAATAAAAAAGAAGAAGCTGAACTTTTAGGGCCTTCTTGGAAGGGGGTGCAGGCATAGCAGCCCCAGACACACTAGACCATTGCCAGCATGGAACTTGCCCAGCTCCACATTGAACCTCATCAAGACACAAATTGTTCCAGCTCCATAGCTCCCAGAGCTCTTGGCCACAGATACCTCCAAATTTTGTAACACTGTTAGCCTAATAGGACCACAGAAAATCTGATGGGAATATTGTACAGAAAACCAGCAATCTCATTGAGCAAAACCAAAATACAAAAGATTCAGTTAGCACCAATCAACCCAGTAAATCCTCAGACCATAACTTTAGAAACGCCATTGTGAAACATAATAATTATCACAAATTGGTTGTATTGATCTAAGTTTTGATCATTCCATTTCCCTTTGTGTTGTAGTTCTTGCTTGTGCAGCTCCTCAGCTACCTGGACTGGGTATCCTGTAGGAATGTTCAGGGAATCCTAGAGGCAATGCTTGGATACTGAGTCTAAGCAATGGTAACGGGTGGAAGGCAGGGACCTATTGTTTCCTGGAGAACAGTATAGATTAATTAAAGATTAATAATTTATCATTGGTCTGGCTTGGGCGTTTTGTGTGTGTGTGTGTGTGTGTGTGTGTGTGTGTGTGTGTGTGTGTGTGTGTGAAACCTTTAAAGGATCATAAGCTTTGTTCTTGTTTAGGGACCGTAAAGATCCTGGGCACGATTTTCACCAAAAACTGAACGGAGCCCATGTAACCATTCATTTTCCTTCCCATTAATCTTCACTTTCACCTCCCCTTACCACATGCCCTTCTTCTGCATGTACTGCATTTCTTTTGCTTTTATATAATCACTACTTGTCCTGAATAAACCTGTCTATTGGCCATCAGTCAGTAGCCTGTGTCACAGGGAGCATTGGAATTGACTCCTTGTTCCAGGTCACCAGTGGAAATCTTTTTGTTGTAATAAGCAATATGAAGTAAATTTGTTTTTGCCTGCTAAGAGGACAGACTTGAGTAGTGGGTTGGAGACATTGGTTGAGGGAAAGATATACTGATGGTGGAACCGGTGTTGGAACATTGAATGCCTGAAGTGACTATATTATGAATAACTTGGTAAATCATGAGTCATAATAAAGAATAAAATTTAAAATTAAGAAGTTTGTGTGAAGTCAAGGAATATTTCAAATATTATGGAATTGAGTAAAATTTGAATTCAAATGCATAGAGATTTACAGCAACTATATAGCAAGGTAACAAGGGCAGATTTATGTCCTGGTTCCTCATCTAAATGTGTCACTGTGTCAAGCACTACTGTATAACAGTGAACAGTAGTATTCAGCTTCATCCTCTGATTGGGCTCCCGGGATTGTGAGGGCAGCTTTGTTCCCAAGGATGGAGCCTGAGAACCGGGCTGGGGTCCAGGGGTGTTTTTTGTTTGTGTCATAAATCATTGTTCTGGGAGCTTGACCAGACTTCTGCTGGAACCAATATGGATAGTGACCATCAGTGACTACTCCAGTGCTAGAACCATATGTGAGAATGACTGTCCCTCCCGGGTTCATGGTCAGTGAAGGCTCCTGAGTCACCACAGCCTGAGAATTGGACCCTGAAATGGAAACAGAAGCATGTCAGGAATGAAAATGGAAGTCAGAGAAATTCCCCAAAATTTGGTCACTGAAATCTCCACGACCTGGACAGTGAGTAAAGAGGAAAAAGACGAGAAGGAGGAGAGGAGTCCTGCTCATGGTGCAGACTTTCAAGGGCATTCTGGTCCCACAGCTGACACAGGACTCTGGGGTGTCATTTATGTCCCTCTGACCCTGGGGGAAGGGTTTGTGTTGGGTATGCTTGTTGCATATTTGAGCTATTTAGCATAAATCCCCTCCTCCAGTTCTGTGTCTTCAAGGCAGCACTAAGTCTGGGGTGGTTTTTAGCTGGTTTATTCCCTTGAGAGGAACCACCTGTTGGCACTTTTTCTGTCTGGATATGCTGCAGGCCTTGTTCACTTCAAGAACATCAGTGCCCCCTGTAGATTTCTCAAGATGGTGTTTAGTGTATTTCAATTATTCAGAGCAAAGTGGGGTTTTTTTAATTAGTGGTTTTCAGTCTTTTAAAAGATTCTTTTTCCCCATGTAAAAACAAATTCTTATTTTTGCTTTTGCTTTTTTTTTCTGAAATAGAAGTCATTCAAAATATTGCTAGGATTCAACTCAGTACCCTTTGAATACTCCCTAGTACCACCACTCTGACTCCATCTTCTACTAATCCTTATTGATACTTCTTTATTTTTTGATACTTCTTTACTCCTGTTCAATATCCTCCTCAAAGCTTCAATTCTGCCTAATGTATACCTATCCTTGCACCCATTTAGCAATTATCACTTATGTAATTTTCTCTTTCTTTGTATTCATAACTCATTTCAGAAATAATCTTTATTGGTTTTGGGTGTTTATCAAGGTGACATCATGTTCATTGTTAAAAATCTTTGTCTTGGTTTGACTGTAGGTCAGTGGGGAGAGTAACTCCCTCACATGTGGCTGATTAGGGTTCAATCCCCAGTATCTCATACCATCTTCTAGCTTGCTAGGAGTGATCCCTGACCATACAGTCAGGAGTAAGCCCTGAGTACTGCCTGGCAATAAAGATTTTATAGGTTAGTATGATATTACATGCAGTACAAATATTAGGTCTGACAAATATTTAAAACAGGCAGAGGAAAAAGTATACATTTTTATTCTTTTTTCTATGTTCGTGATGGGGATTTTTTCTGTGAGAATTTTACATTTACAGAAAAAAATGCAAAAAATATATAGAGATATCTTATATATGTTTTGTTTTTTACCTGTAATTAGGTATTATGTTAATCTTGATCATTTGGTGTATACTTTAGTTGCTGTTACAATTTCTCCACCTTTTCAATTTCAAATAGTTGTCAGTACACTGAGCTTTTCCTATTCTATTGTGTGGTGACCTCTAATTTAATTTTTACTTTACAATTCCCTAATTATATAGGTCATAAGTTACTGTATTTATTTCTTATTTTATACTGTGAATATCTTGCAATGTGTTAGACCTATTTTTATAGGTCATTCATATTTTCTTGCCTTATTTTTTCTACTGATTTTAAAATAGACTTGCATTTTGTGTTTATTTATTATTGGTTGACTCTCAAGAAATTTGCTAAAGAATCTGAGGGATATTCTGTATTTGATTCATTTATGTTTTGGTTAGTTTTAATATATGTGTTTATTCTGAAGAAATGAAAATGAATAAATGAACAATTTAATTTTCCAGCATGTAGATTCAGACTTTTCAAGCAATTAAATCATCACCTTGGATAGGAGTGATTTTTTCTGAGTTGATCTACAAATGTGTTCCTGAATTACCCTGTATGTGTTATCTTCCATCACAATCTTGCTCCTTGAGTTGGCCTTATGTAAGCTTTTCTTAAAAATTGGGGTGGGAGAAATAATATTTGGGTTGTGGGGTATATTGGGGCTGTCTCTTCAGTTCTGACCCTACCTGTGCAATGAGAGAGGAACACGAGAAGGAGAGGAGTCCAGGCCCTGGTATGTGGGAAGCCAAGAGCACTCTCATAGACCCTGGCCGTGGTTCCCATGTTAGGGACATTGGTGACAGTCTCCCAGGACTTCCTAACCTCAGCCCTCAGCGGATACCTGATCTATAGCCACATACATCAGGATGACAGTTATCTTATCTGGCCTTATCTATAGTGACCTCCAGGATGCATCTACTGCCATAAGACCCTTTGATATACAAATGTAAAGCTCAGGATGCACCTACTGCCATAAGACCCTTTGATGTACAAATCAAAGGGTCTGTGCAGGGACTCACAGAAAGGTAAGTGCTTGCCTAATCAAAATCCCCACCTCATGATCGAGGCCGAGGGGACAGCATCAGGGGAGAATTGTGTGTTCAGTCTCATAATAGGTACATGGACGGTCACTGCGCCCCTTTGTCGTGTCCTTTGTGGAATGTGTGTGTGAGTGAATGGGCGGTCAGAGACGTCCTCGCCTCTGATTCGAGTCTGTGGTTCCATGGCTGGGCACCCTTAAGGTCCCCAAAAAGGCTACAGAATTCGGTTGGGCTGCCTGTGGTTCCACAGGAAACATATGGTCTATGGTGGTGCTGACTTAGACGTCAGCTGCAAGTCACCTCTGGCTGATCCACGATGGGTAAATTTCCCACTGGCCAGGCAAGCAACTGAGTGGGCCCCTTTGTCGGGCCTCCCCCGTGTCTTGCGTCTGTTTTTCCCAGGTATTCACGCGGGGCTTCAGCCTTACAGTAACCCATCTCCTATCTCGTCTCTATTCATGTTTTTTTCTTCCTTCTACTCCTTTCGTCTGTGTCACAATTGAGTGTTCAGTCTCATATGAGGTATATGAGATGGTCACTGGGTGAGATAAGGCCCCCCCCTGCGCCCCTTTGTTGTGTCCTCTGTGGAATGTGTGTGTGAGTGAATGAGCGGTTAGAGGCATCCTCGCCCCTGATTCGAGTCTGTGGTTCCACGGCTGGGCACCCTTAAAGGCTACAGAATCTGAGTGGGCCCCTTTGTGGAGGCCTCCCCCATGTCCCAGGTATTCACGTGGGGGACAGCCTTCCAGTGACTCATCTCCTGTCTCGTCTCTCTTTATGTCTTGTCTGCCTTCTATTCCTTTCATCTGTCTTACTCCCTCTCTCCTTCCTATGTTTCTCATTTTCTATATTCATGTATATCTGTATCTTTGAACTAAGCAAGAAGGAATTGTTTGTTGGTGGTTTAAAGACCTCCCTTAAGCACCAAGGAATCTAGGTAAAGAAAAAGGACCTTGTCAATTTCTTTCTTCTTGAAAATGTGTGTATAAGAAATGTAGGGGCCGTGACTGTCTTAAATCCCCGTCCTGGCCTTTTCCTACCTGCAATGAAACTTAGAGACCTTCTTTTTTTTTTTAATTTTTTTTATTAATTTTTTTTTATTAGTGAAACACCATGAGGTACAGTTGTAGATTTACAATTTTTTGTGCTTGGGTTTGATTATACAATGATCAGATACCCATTCCTCCACCAGTGCCCATTTTCCACCACCATGGATAATATCCCCCCCACCCCCATCCCCTCATCCCCCCCTGCCTCTGTGGCAGGGCAATCCCCTGTGTTCTCTCTCTCCTTTTGGGTGTTGTGGTCTGCAAAAGAGGCATTGAGTGTCAAACATGTTCAGTGCATAGTCCACTTTCAACATGCATCTCCCCTCCCTCCTGGGAGGGACCTCCAAACACCCTTTATTTGGTGTTCCCTTCTCTATCTGAGCTGCCCTTTCCTCTAGAATGCCCAACTGGCCACTAAGCTATGGAGTAATCCTCCTGGTGCTGATCTCAGCTATTCTTGGGTATTAATCTCATACTTTGTTACTTTATATCCCCCAGATGAATGCAATCTTTCTATGTCTATCCCTCTCTTTCTGACTCATTTCGCTTAGCATGATACTTTCCATGTTGTACCACTTGTATGTAAATTTCATGACTTCATCTTTTCTAAGAGCTACATAGTACTCCATTGTGTAGATGTACCAAAGTTTCTTTAACCAGTCATCTGTTCTTGGGCATTCAGGTTTTTTCCAGTTTCTGGCTATTGTAAAGAGTGCTGCAATGAACAAACAAGTGCAGATGTCACTTCGACTATACATTTTTGCCTCTCTGGGATATATTCCCAGGAGTGGTATCGCTGGGTCAAATGGGAGCTCAATTTCTAATTTTTTGAGAATCGTCCATACTGTTTTCCAGAAGGGCTGAACCAGTCGGCATTCCCACAGTGAAGGAGTGTCCCTTTCTCGCCACATCCGTTGCTTTTGTTCTTTTGAAAGTGGGTCAGTCTCTAGAGACCTTCTTAAAGGGCTACTGCCTTTGTGCTCCTTAGTCCCCAGCCCTTCTCTGCCTCCCTCTATCCCCTCCCCCTCTATCAGCCCAAATTTGTTTTGGGTGGCCTGGTGAGTGGGCCCATCTCTTTCCCCCTCTCTTCTCCCTTCTCAACCCAATCTTGTTTTGGGTGGCCTGGTTAGTGGGCTGATCTCTCTACCTCTCACTCTCTCAGTCACTTTCTCCACTCCTTACTCCCCCTCCCTTTCCAGGCTTTTCCTCCCTGTGGGCACCTGTCAGCCCCCTAGGGCACTCACCGCTGGAAGTCTCCCGTGACAGGATAAGGGGATCACAGCTGCGATTCTCAGAATAAAATAGAGTCCCCTGCAGAAGAAAAAACTGCATCATTAGGTACTCCTCAGTTAAGCACATCCACGTCCCCACATTTGAAAATGCAGCCTTTCTTTTTCCCTCTCCCTTCACCCTCCTTTCTTACGACCTTGGGAAATGCACTTAGCAAAAGGGAACTCTTTGTTGTGGGTCTTAAGGACTCTCTCCAGGCTCCAGTTACTGCACTCCAAAGTAGTTTTGTCATGTTAAATGAGATTGGAAAAAAAAAACTTGGGAGTGCCTGAATGATTTCTATTGGACCCTCCTTATTTTCCTAAACAGTGGAAATTGATAGAATAACAATTGGATTTGTCCATTCTCCTTTGACACAAGGAGCTAAGGTTTATCATGGTACACCCATCAC